CCGACCCTCCGCCTCCCAGCCCGAGGTCCTTCCAGAAGCGCAAAGGGGGGGCCCATCCCGCGGAGCCCTGCACCTGCCACGCGGCACCTGGAGGCGGCACCCCGGGGCCCCTGGCCCTCCTCACGCACCCACGTCCGGGTCCTTGGCCAGCTCCTCATAGGACCCGTAGGCCTTGGGGATGTCGTGTTTCCGTGCAAACTCCTTCGCCCGGCCCAGGTCGCGGGCGGCTACCGCCACCACCTGAGTGAGGCAAGCGGGGGAGCCTTGTGGCGGGAGGGAGGTGATGGAGAAGCCCCTGGGTGAGCAGAAACTGCGCACCCCAAGGGGGGAGGGGGAATTCGGTGCTAGGGGAGGAGGCGGCGGGGGCTGGACACTTGGGTCCTGGGCAAGCGACGGTTCAATCCCCTACCAGCTAAATTTCCTCTCTCCACAGCAGCTCCTCTCAGGCCCCTCCCAAAGCTCACGGAGCTCGTGTTTATAAGGCAGAAGCGGAGGAGGGAGTGAGGGAGAAAGGGAATTAGACTTTGTTTCACTACCTTGGAGTCGGAACTCGGGAACCCCAACGCCCTCCACCTTCTGACCCAGGAGGCCCGGCCCCCGCCAGCTCTTCCCCAGGACTCCGGAGGGAGGGCGGACCTGGTGCTCGGAGCGAGGCAGCGTCTGCAGCACGGTCGTGAAGTCGCTGGAGATGAGGCCGGCTGACACGATGCCCCAGCGAACCGCCATCGCCGAAACCCGGAGTCCCCAAACCCCGCGGCTTGCTCCCGGCGGGGATTATTAAGCCCCGACGCCACGCCCATCAGGGGGTGTGGTTGTTTTCTCCGCCCACTATTGCCCCTACGCAGCTTCTCATTGGTCACTGGACCTGAGCGCCCCGCCTAATATCAAGAGGTTATTTAATCCTAGCGTCCCCATTGGAAGACCGTACCGTTGGCTCCGCCTTGTGGGTGGGACCAGAAACACTTTTCCGCTGCCGCTTGACTTCTAACCACGTGACTACAGTGGAGCCCGCTCTCTTATCCAGTCGATTTTGATCTTTGGGGCCTGTTTCCTTTCCTCCTTCCCCCCACTCTTTTGCTGAGAAAGTCGCGCACCCTCAGGAATTGTCCAGCAAGGCAGGATAGTAATAGCAAAGGTAATAATAATTGCTAATATTTATAGAACGCGTGCTGTGACCCAGGGCCCCAGCTTCAGCTTCACTTTCTTCATCCCTAATTTCTCACCAGGGACCTGCTGACTACCTTCTATTGCCCCCCATTTACAGAGAGAGAAACAGACTCAGAGTGCCTTGGTCATTTTTCTGAGGTCCCATAACCAAGATATGAAAACCTGCAAATTAGCTGCCTCCAAAGACCACCGTTTTTGTTTTTGTTTTTTAAAATATGTCTTTACTGATTTCAGAAAGAGAGGAAGGGAAAGGGAAGAAGAGGGAAACATCAATGATGAGAGAGTCATTGATCCGCTGCCTCCTGCACGCCCCCTACCGGGATTGAGCCCGCAACCTCAGCGTGTGCCCTGACCCAGAATGGAACTGCGATCTCCTGGATCCTAGGTCAATGCTCAACCACTGAGCCATGCTGGCTGGGCTTAATAACATTTCTTGGAAGTGCTGATGAAATCAGAATCAGGTCTGTAGCTGATTAAGTAATGTAACATTATCAATTCCTGGCTTTGAAGAAGTACGATAGTTACCTGAGATATCACTGGAGGAGCTGGGTGTCTGGTACAAAGGAACTCTCTGTTCTATTTTTCGCGACTTCTTAAACGATTTCAAATAAAAACTTATAATTTTAAATTGCCAGCAGTGAGTTTGTGTACCCAGAGAAATCATTTTGCAATATCCAGTAAAGTAGAAAATGAGTGTATGGCATGACCCAGTGATTTCTATCCTGGGTAGAAGATCTGTACCCTTGAGGAACTCTCAAAGCTGTGCCTCATGAGACATGTGCAAGAGCATTTATTGCAGCCTTGGGTGTGACAGCTCGAAACTGGGAACAGCCATCAGTAACAAAACAGTGTGGCAAATTCTAACAACAGGATAGGACTTAGCAAGGAAAATGAATGAACTAACTCCACAGTTCACATAGATTCTCAAATCTCGCTTGGGGGGAGCACGTGACTGCCCTGGCTGGTGTGGTTCAGTTGGTTGGAGTGTCACCCTGTACACTGAAAGGTGGCCAGTTAAATTCCTGGTCAGGGTGCATACCCAGGTTGTGGGTTCGATCCCCGGGAGGCAACCAATCGATGTTTCTCTCCCTCTCTCCCCCTCCCTCTCTCTAAATCAATTTTTAAAAGGAAACAAAAAGAAAAGCAACTGGAAACAATTATGGCGCTATGTTAAGGCTTGGGAAATCTGGGCAATGTGTCCAACAGTGTCTGCAATTCTCTGTATTTTTCATATGTTTTCATCTCTGTGAGTCTATTCCGCAAAGCTCTCGTACAGGGTCACCTATGCTTGCCTCTATTCTAGAGGCTTCCTGAATATTAACTCATATGTCATAACTTCACATGTCATGTTATTAGCCTCATTTTACAGATGAAGAAACTGAGGCACAGACTGGTCAAGAATCTTGCCCAAAGTCACACATTAACTAAGTGGGAGGGTCAGGATTGAAACACAATCAGTGTGGCCCCAGAGTCCACACACTGAACTGTGTCTGCTGTGTTTTATTTAATTCATAATTAAGTCAGGAAAATCGCTGACCTGAGACCGGAATCCCTTGATCAGCAGGTCAGGCACCTTCTTTCCCTGGGAGGCAGCCACAGGATTAAGCACAAGACAATGTTTCTGGGACCCAGGGTGAGAGACAGGGAACTAACAGAGGCCATAGACCGTGAAGTGGAATTTAGAGGCTGAGGGTCAGCAAATGTCTCCTTGCCTCCTGGCAAGGGCTGCTTGGCTGGGGCTCAGCTTGCTGCACTGTGGGGCTTTAGTCCAAGAAACACACTCACTTCCTAACTCTCTTGACCTCTTTGGGAGACAAGCAAAACAATGATGCTGGAAGTGTGGCAAATCCAGTCTGAGCTTAGATACCTACTTGTGTGAGTGTGGGTGCCAGCACATTCCAGGACTTGCTGGCAATATCATTTGGAGACCTTAGAAGTTAAAATCATGGTGAGAGGTGAAGGCAGTGTCCCGGAAAGAGCCTCCAGGGTCACTTAACAGAGAGGAGACACATGGGGGAGAGTTTAGAGTGTTTTAGTGAACAGGATTAATGAAGACTCAGAGAAGGGAGGTGGGAGGGACAGAGACTTGAAGAGAGAAGACTGTATTAGTTCCCTGCAGCTGCTATAACAAATTACCACAAATTTCCTGGCTGAAGACAACACAAATGTATTCTTTTATACTCTAGACATCAGAAGTCCAAAATGGGTCTCACTGGGCAAAAATCAGTGTCATCAGGGCTGCATTCCTTCTGGAGGCTCTGAGGGAAGAATTCATTTCCTGCCTTCTTCAGCTTCTAGAGGTCACCCACGTCTCATCTGATGCCTTTGAATTACTTTGACCTTCTGTGGTCACGTGTCCATCTCTGTCACCCCCTTGCCTCTCCTATGTATAACCTTGAGATTACATTGGGCCCGTCTGGATTATCTCCCCATCTCAGATCTTTAATTTAGCCCTGGCCAGTGTGGCTCAGTTGGTTGGATGTTGTCCCATCTACCTAAAGGTTGCTGGTTTGATTCCTGGTCAGGACACATGACTGGTTTGCAGGCTCAATCCCCGGTAAGGGGCGTGCAGGAGGCAGCTGATTGATGTTTCACTCTCACATCAGTGTTTCCCTCTCTTAAAAAAAATCAATAAAAATATTTTTTAAATGATTAAAAAAAAAAAAAGGATCCTTAATTTAATTATATCTGCAAAAGTCCCTTTTGCCCCAAAGGTCACATATTTACAGGTTCTGAGGATTAGGATATGGGTATGTTTGAGAAGCCATTATTCTGTCTACCACAGAGACCCACAGAGAGAGTGTTTCAAAAGTGGAAGGTTTAGTATCATTCAGGTATGGCGAGGCCAACAGGTCAGGAGACAATTGCCATGGAAAAGATAGTTTCTTACAGTTCCCAAGAGGGGGCAGCCATGCTACACAGGGCCACACAGGGAGGCAATGGATTTGGTCAGGAGGCAGGAGTCAAGGGAAAACATGGGGAAGAGCTTTACTGTGGTTCCTGTGGGAAGAAACAGACCAGCAGTTAGGTTTCCCTAGTTTTAATAATTTCAGCAGGTCCTGAGGAGAGACTGTCCCGAGTTGTCTGGCACCTGGCAAGGGGTGATTAGGACAGGTGAATATCACCCAGGACTGTAGGAGCCCAGTAAAGTATGTGATTGGGGTCTGAGCTCTGCATTGGACAGTTTGCATAGGAAATGTATGCTCACTAGCAGGAGAGTAGTTCACTGTGTCCAGCAACTGGCTAACCCTGGGAGAGGCAGTCCTTCCCGTGTCTGCAAGGCCCCACATGTCAAAACATCAGAAACACAAGGTAAATGCATAGGACAGAAACCCAGAATAGCAAAGTTGGAATTCCAGGAAAACACAAGGCACCAATTCTTGGCTCCTTATTTTTGTCTTTTTCCTTCACCAGCTGTTGGTGGCATTTGGAGCAGCTGCAGCCACTTTGGAACAAGAGTAGTACAGCCCCCCACACCACACCTACCATGGCAGAGCTGGATGGGAGAACCTGGTTCCCTAAGGGCCTTGGAGCCACCCTACCTTGGGACTTCCTGTTTTGGGTGATAATACACTTTTCTTTATTGTTCAAGCCTAGGTTTGGGTTTTCTGTCCTTGTGACTGAAAAGATCCTGCTGAAGACGTGTGTGTGTGTGTGTGTGTGTGTGTGTGTGTGTGTGTGTGTAGGCAGCAGACTCATTAGGAGAGAACAGAAAGATAGCAGGATGCAATCTCTCAGAAATGCCTGAATCTTAAAGTATGAGAAGAACTTTGGCGGGTTAAGCGGGAATGAGGTTTCAGAGGGAATAGTATATGCAAAGAAACAGGCATGGATTTGTTCCAGGAAGTATATTTAGATGGAACTGTAGTATACAGCAGGACACACAACAGTGTAGATAAGGCCAGAAAGGAAGGCATCAGCCTCCCACTGAGGCTGAGGGGCTGGAACCTGATCCTGGGGCTGGATCAGCTCTGGGACCTTTCTGTGGCTGTCTGGGGAAGGGGCAAGGGGCCAAGCCATCAGGGAGGAGGCTGAGGCTGAGATGGATGAAAGCCAGGGGTCAGGGAGAGTCAGGACTCCTGGTATCAGAGTTGATCAGCTCTTCTGAAGACTCTACTGCCCCCGACCCAGCCATGGGGTAGACACTGTCTTCAAGGCATTGCTGGTCCCACAAAAGATAGAGAAAGGTCTCAAGGGGCCACCCAAGCCTCATAAACCAGCAGATGTGAAGCCCAGAGCAGCAGGCAGGATTCCAGTAGCTGTGGATGCAGGGTGCTGGAGTGGCCCCAACCTGGGGCAGCGAGGCCAGTCCGTCTAGGAGGACAGGGACACGGCGGACCCCCTCAGGAGGAAGGAGGCTTCCCTAAGGTAGCTGACCCTGTGAGTGTCCTGCTGAACACAAGAAGGCAGGTCCCTGGAGGGGGGCAGAGAGAAGGGACTACAGACTGGGAGACTGTGGAAGCTGAAGTAGCAGGTAGGAGGCCTGGGTAGCAATGTGGGAAGTGTCTCCCTGTCCCACTTTCCCTAGGCCACATGTGTTGTCCTCAGAGGAGGTTGATTGTGACACTTCACCATCTTCCCATCGGCTGCGTTGGTAGGAGCCCAGAGGCCACGGTCCTGGAGAATCACAGGTGCTGGGAATCCAGCTGGGGCAGCTCCGGGGACTGGTCAGGAACCTTCTTTTCTGAAGCAGCCTCATCCTTCTGGTCACCAGCTGGAGCTGGGACAGGAGCATCATCTGGAAATGAAGGGAGGAAACGGTAGCTCTAGACATCCCAGCCCCTCCTCCCTCAGACCCAGGAGTCCACACCACAGTCCTTCCCTCCTCCCTAGGCCCAGGGACAGCACCTGTGTTGTGGGGCTGGAACTTGAGCTGTCCCTCGGGGCCAGGGACTGGGGCATTGTGGGCTTGCTGCTGCTGTTTCCTCTGTTCCATTTGCAGAACGGCCTGCAGGGTGGGGTGGGGTTGCACAGGGAAGGGGGTGTGATGCCGAGTCTCCCCATCCTGCCAAGTGCTCATAGCCCTCTCTCTACAGGTCTCAGTTCATCTCCCTCATTGACAGCTGGGCTTAATAAGAAAGATCCAGTCTTCTCCCCCTTGTCAGGGCTTGGGTTGCAGCTCGGGACACGGAAACCCTCACTGAATCCTTGCTGGAATCTACCCTTCCGCCGGGCTTTCCCGCCCTTCTCCCTCCTACAACCCCCTGCCCTTATCCAACATGGCATCTGCGGAGCTGTGAGGGGCGGGACTTCCGCCCTCACTCAAGATGGCGACGACCACCCATCCCAGAGTGATTAACGGGCCTTCCCAGCCTCTGGACACACAAGGACAAGGGCCACCAGGGACTGGAGGCTGGCCCAGCTGCCTGGCCAGTCACCTGCTGCAGCTCTCTCTTCTGGGCCTCCAGGCGGCCCTGGGAGCGGCCCAGGGCCTCGGTCTCCTGGCTGAGGCGCTGGGCCTTGGCGTTCAGCTCGGCCTCCCGGGCGGCCAGCTCCTCCTCGAACCGCCTCAGCTCCTCCTCTGTGTAGGCAGGATGCATCTCCACGGTCTGCGGGGTGGGGACAGACGCCGTTAGCTGGTGGCTCCAGCGTCGGCCCACCCATGTTGGAGAGCATAATGGAGGGTTGGGAAGGCTGGGAGGCCTGTGTGTGGACGGCAGAGACCCGAGGGGAAGCCGGGGAGGGGGGATGAAGGCCCAGACAGAGCGGGGAACAGAGATGGTCTGTGTGTGGCAGCGGACAGACACCCGGAGACAGAGGGGGACAGTGACCCGGGGTGGGGGGCGGCGGAGCAGAGACCCAGTGAGTAAGAGAATTGGCCAGGAACCTGAAGTAAGGGTTAGGGCGGAGAGAGACGTACTCGGGATCCAGAGAGTCCCCGTGTCCTTACCTCCCAGCCCTCCCCAGTGTCCCCAAACTCCTTCCTCTGGGTGGATACAAGGAACTCCTCCAGGGTCACAAGGCGGTCCTGGTTGGTGTCCACCTGGGGAGCCGGGGCAGGGTAAGTGACAGAGCGGGGCCCAGCCACCCGCTGCCCCTCCGGCCCTCCGCCTCACGTTCTTCATCACGTGCTCGCGCATGCGCAGCCGCTCCTCCTCCATCTCCCGCATGTCGTCCTCCTCGTTCTTTGGGTCGTACACCTTCTCCAGCTGCAGTCAAGCGGGAGGCGGGACGTCCTGAGAGGTCCGGGGCAACCTCTTTCTCAGGCTACCCCCCCTCCTTACACCCAGTCCCATGCCCGCGAGTCCTTGGGGCGACTGCCATTCCTGGCGGCCTTTCGTTTGCCCTCCAGGGCCCTGGGAGTTGTCGTTTTCCCGGGATTTACATCCGGGGCTTCCTAAGGAAGGACCACACGGCTCACCTGGGCACCCCCTGAAGCCAGGCTTCCCGGACACTCACCTCCTTGGTGAAGAGGGCCTCCAGCTCCTGCTCATCCAGGACCCCATCACTGTTGATATCTGAGGAGAGACGACAACGTGTCTTGGGGGACTGAAGTCGGGGTAGGTGAGGTCCCCGAGGGACCAGCTGGAGAAGGAAGTAGGGCTGACGTGGGGTGTTTTAGAGGTCAGGGAACAAGTCTCCAATAGTAGAATGGTGGCCTGCAGGCTTTAGTGCCCCACAGGCCTGTTGCTAGGAGAGCCCTTTTCCTACTAGCCAGGGTCCCGAGAATGGAGTAGGTGGAGGTGGGGCTCCCCTGGGACCATTCTTGGGGCCGCTGTCATGCAGGATGACTTAGTCCCTAGCACCTGGTGATAGGGGCACAGGATCGACCCCTTTGCTCAGGATCTAGGTGTTTGGAGGCCTCTGGTTCCCCGAGAGTCAGGCTGTGCCAACTCCAGTTGCCAGAGGAGCATCCCCCTTGCCAGTCCAGCTCATACGGCCGCATGGGCTCTGCTCCCTGTCTCCACCTCCTCTGCTCACTCACATCGCACCTGCACGGATCCTGCCGAGGTGGCCAGAGCCCCTGACCTTGCAAAACCCACGCCTGGGTTTTAGCCCACGTCTGGCTAGATTGTGCCCGTGGTTTTCAGACAGCATCCTCTCCTCTCCAGCTACGCTGCTTTGTCCTTTGCTGGCTTCCTCATCGTCTGGGCTTCTACACCTTGGTACATCCAAGGACTTAGGTCTGGGGCCTCTTTGTCTAATCTTCAAATCTGTCCAGTATGGTAGCCACCTGCCACATGGGCTGTTCAAACTTAAATTGATTCATATTAAGTAAGATTAAAATTTCAGTTTATCGCCCTGGCCAGGTAGCGCAGTTGGTTAGAGCGTTGTCCCAATATGCCAAGGTTGCAGGTTCAATCCCCGTGCAGGGCACATACAGGACTCAACCAATAATGCATCAATAAGTGGAAGAACAAATGGATGTTTCTCTCTCTCAAGTCAATAAATAATTTTTTTTTAAAATTTCAGTTTACTAGTCCTACTTGCTACAAGTTAAGTGCTGAATAGCCATATGTGGCCAGTGGGTGCCACACTGGGTGGCACAGGACATTTTCCATCAGTACAAAAAGAGTGCTATCGGCCGGCACTTCCTTAGATGGGCTCCTGCAGTCCCTCAGCTTCCGATGCCACCCACAAGCTGCCTCTACACTTGACTATCCAACTGTCTACTCTCCATCTCCACGCATACGTCTACCAGACGTCTCTAATTGAACTCGAACACACCCAGTTCCCAGTCTGCTCTGCCAAACATGCTTGCTCTCCCCATTCTATTTTCCAGTTTCTCAGGCCAAATACCTTGGAGTCACCCTTGACCCTTTTGTTCCTTCATGACTTCATAACTTGCCGTCTGCAAGTCATACTAGCTTGACCTTCAGGATGAATCCAGAAACCGACTGCTCTTCCTTCCTCCCTGTGGTCCCGCCACCAGCATCTCATGCTTTCTAAATAGGCTCCTGGCCTTGGCCCTCACACCTACAGTCTGTCCTTGACACAGCACCCAGATGGAGTCTATCAGCCCTTAAGGCAGAGGTGTCAGTCCTCTGCTCAGAGCTGTTTTGTGTGTGTCCCATGATGGAATCAAGGCCAAATTCCTTACCCTGGCTGTGACCTTGGATGGACCAAGCCCACTTCTCTGTTTGTGCTTACTGTTCCCCCACCTAGCATGCTCTTCCCCCACAAGTCTCTGCAAGCTGCAGCCCCTCATTCACTGAGGTCTTTGTTCAAATGTCATCCCTCTAGAGCTGTGCTGTACAATAGAGCAGTCACCAGCCACATGGGGCAAGTGAATTTCAATAACGGTCAAATGAAAATTTAATTTCCTTGACATTATGCCACAAAAAGGCAAATACTGTACGATTTTACTTATAGGAGGTAGCTAGAGTAGTCAAATTCATAGAGATGTAACCAAGAACAGAGGTTACCAGGGGCTGAGAGAGGGGTAATAGGGAGCTGTTGATTAATAAAGACTTTCAGTTTCACAAGGATGAAAGAGTTCTGAGACCCAGTACACAACAATGGAATGTACTTAACATACTGAACTGGACACTTAAGAGCTGAGATGGGAAATCTCACGTTACGTGTATTTTACCATGAATCACAAGTCTTAAAAAAATTTATCAAAACTAAAGATTCAGGTCCTTAGTCGTTAGAGCCACATTTCAAGTGCTGCATAGTCATGTGGGGCTGGTGGCTGCTGCACATTGAACATCTGAACACAGACAGAACACTTCCATTGGCATGGAAAGTTCTATTAGACAATGCTAGTCAAGAAAACCTTTCCTGACTGGGCTACCAAAAACTGTCACTCTACGCCCTTAATCAAGGGGGCCTCATTCCCATGGTACATTGTCACTACCTGAAAGGTCAGAGCCTCAGAATTCAGCCTGGGTCTTGGGACTCCCTCCCCACCTTACCATGCAGTATGAAGAAGGTCTTGGGGTTAAACCTGTTGGGGTCCAATCCATCCAGCTCCTCCCACACCTCCTTCAACTGGGCTTGGCTGCCCTGTGGAGGTGAGAGCAGGGGCTCATGAGCAAGAAGTCTAGATCCTACGGGATAAAGCTAGAGAACCCTTCATACCCCCATCCCTCAGTCATTCGCAAGCAAGGAAACTAAGAAAACAACAATTCCCAGAAGCCCCTGGAAAATAGCTAGGTACATTAAAAGGAACTTTTGCCTCAGAGTCTGCTGGGAGTTGTAGTTTTACAGCTACACTCTTGCCTTGTGGAACTTGGGGAATTGGACATGGGAGGAGGGTGGGCACGAATGGGGGTCCTTACAGGCACATTGACTTTGGGGTGCTCTCGGTGCCGTCGCTGTTGCTCTTCCAGCTTCCTCTCTGCCTCCTTTCGCTGCTCCTCTCCTAGTGACTCCAGGTAACGGCGTCTCTCGTGTTCCTTGAGCATCTCATAGCGTTTGAACTCCTCGTGATGGGCCGCGTCGTACTGGGCAAGGTCCCGCGTGGCCTGGGGAAAGGCAGACAGTCACTATCATGGCACCTCTGTGTCCAGCGTCAAATTCCAACCTCCAAATGCAAGGCCTTTGACTCTGAACCTGACCCAACCTCCACCCTGTCTTGGTCTCATGTCCTGATCTCATTATTTGGTCTCTGACCCACTCTTGCCCCATAACAGAGTCTCTTTTCTTTGTTTTTCAAAAGAGATTCAGACAGTTACATAACAGCAGCTTTAACCCACCTTTCTCAAGTCCTCCACAATGTGAAAATCTTGGAGGAATAAGTAATAAGAAAAACACACGATAAACAATGGTCATGGGGTTAAAAGAAAAACACACGAGGTGTATTTAATAGGAAAAGCAGCACAGCTCCATGGTAAAGAACATGAGGTCTCTAATTATTTTGCCCAGAGTTCAAATCCAGGCTCTGCTGTGTGAAGAAATCCCACTAACTGTGTGATCTTGGGCAATTTACTCAGCCTCTCTGTGCCTCAATTTCTGCCTCTGGTAAACATGGAGATAACAATACTATACTTGGTTGAATAGTGTCCCCCCCCCAAATTCACATCCACCCAGAACCTCAAAATGTAACCTTATTTGGAAATAAGGGTCTTTGCAGATGTAATTAAGATTCAGTCCTATTGGATTAGGGCAGCCCCTAAATCCAATGATTGTTGTCCTAATTAGAAGGCTATAGAAAAGACCCAGAGAGACTGGGGGAGAATGCCATGGAGGCAGAGACTGGAGTGGTGTGTCTACAAGCCAAGGAATGCTGGCAGCCTCCAGAAGCTGGAAGAGTCAAGGAGCAGGTTTTTCCTGGATAGTCTCTGAAGTGAGCATAGCCCTGCCAGAACCTTGGTTTTGGCCCAGTGGTACGAATTTTGGCCTTTTGGCCTCCAGAACTGTGAGAGGATACATATCTGTTCTTTTAAGCCAGCGAGTCTAGCAATTTATTACGGCTGCCTCAGGAAACTAATACAACCAATAAGACCCTCCTGGATTTCTGACCTACACTGAATAAATCCATGTTAAGCTATTAAGTTTGTGATTGTTATATGGGAGCAATAGGAAACTAATACAGCTGTTATGTGGGACATAGCTGGGGTTCTTATCCTAGGATGACTCTGGTCCACAGGAGACAATTGTTTATGTCTAAGGACATTTTTGGTTGTCACAACTAAGGTAGGTCTACTGGCATCTAGTGGACATAGGCCGGGGATGCAGCTAAAAATCATACGATGAACAAACATCTACCACAGCAAAGAATTAGCCAGCCCCAAGTGTCAAGAGGGCTGAGTTGAGAAACCCTGCCATGGAAGGCAGAAGCAAGGTGCCAGTGAGAAAGCAGTTTTGAGAGGTAGATGATGGGAATTGAGACCATGGAGAATGAAGTGGGGCTAGAGAAAAGCAGATGGTTTCTGGAATGTTCTGGAAATAAGTGGCAAAACAGCCAAGTTTCTGGAATGTTCTGGAAATAAGTGGCCAAAACTGCTAAGTGCTGGGCTGCACTTAAATGGCTGCTGCTATTATCTTCATGGCCACTAGATGGAGCTCCAGTAGCCAGAAAAGCGGGGCCCAGGCCAAGGCTGAGGGATGGATTCTGGCCCCACAGAAGCAAAGTGAGCAGGGAGAGGCAGGGGCAGGCCTGGGCATCCCCTTCCACACTTGGCCTTCCCTGGGGACTGTAATCCCATTTCTCAGATGAGGACTGTGCTTGTTCCCATGGCTGCTGTAACAAATTATCATCAACTTGGTGGCTTGAAACAATACACATTTATCATCTTACAGCACGGAGGCCAGAGGCCTAGAGGTCAGAAATTAGTTCTCCTGGACTGAAATGAAGCTGTCAGCAGGGCTGTGCTCCCTGCGGAGACTCTAGGGGAGAATCTGTTTCTTTGCCTTTTCCAGCTTCTAGAGCCGGATTCCATGCTGAAGCTCCTTCCTCCACCTTCAAAGCTGGTAGGGGAGCTTCTTGCTTCAGAGGTCACACTACAGCCAAGTACTGGACTCTGCCTCTGTCTTTCAAGGACCCTTGTGATGAGATTCAGGATCATCCCATCAGCTCAAGATCCTCAACTTAATCACATCTGCAAAATCCCTTTGCCTTATAAGGTTCCATGGATTAGGGTGGAATTTTTTTTTTTTTTTTTTTTTTAAGATTTTTTAATTGATTTTCTGGAGAGAGAGGAAGGGAGAAGGAAAGAGAAAGAAACATTGATTGGCTGCCTTCTGCACATCCCCCACCAGGTATCGAGCCTGCAACCTGGGGATGTGCCCTGACCAGGAATCGAACCGGCAACCTTTCTGTGCACCAGGTGACACCCAACTAACTGAGTCACACTGGCCAGGGCAGGGTGGGACATCTTTGGTGAGGGGCCATTAATCCACCTACCACAGGGCGCAGAAGGAACAGCCCCCACCCCAAGTCATATGGGAAAGACAAAGCCGAGGAGGAATTTGAAACCAGGTCTTTGTGGAGCTGAGCCCATCCTGCGACACGACACCCCTGCTTTCCTATAGGGACTCTGGGAAGGGTTCTTAGAAACCACCAGGCCTTCTCAGGGCTGACCTCAGAGAACAGGGGGCAGAGGTGAGCAGGCTTGTGTCCCAGGCTCTGTTTCCCTCTCTCCCTCCGCAAAGCTCCCTCTGTCCTCTGCCTGTAGTTCCCCCTCACGCTACCGTCTGGATCAGCAGCTCCAGGTCCCGGGCCTCGAACGTGTGCTGATTCTGAGGATCCAGGTGTTCAAACTGCTTCAGGAGACTCAAGTGATCCAACTGTGCATCTGGATGAGGGGAAAGGGGGAAAGACCCAACTCATAGAATGTTTTTTCTTTCAGAATCCCTATCCTGGTCCAGATGTGCTGTAAAGGAGGTCACAGAGGGCTCTGAAAAAGCCCAGAGGGCAGCCTGATCGAACATGGGGCAATCAGGGAGGGCTTCCTGGAGGAGGTGATGCCACAACTGAGTCTCACGCTTCAAACAATAACAACAACTAACACGTATTGAGTACTTACTATGTGCCAGGCCCTGCTCTAAACACATTAACTATATTCATGCATTAACTTTTCAATAATCTTACAACAGAGGTTCTATGATTAACGATGTAACCATATGATGTAAAACTAAGGCCCAGAGAGGGGAAGTGACTTGTCTAAGTCGCCATCTAGGAAGTGGCAGAGTGAGGATTAGAACCAGCCACTAGACTCCTAAGCGCAGGCACTCCACCTGTTATAGGTTGAATTGTGGGCCCTAAAAATCCATCCGTTGATGTCCTAACCCCTGGACCTCAGAATGTGACCTTATTTGGAGAGAAGGTTTTTACAGAGGTGATTAAGTTAAAATGAGGTCATTAGGGTGGACCCAAATCCAGTATGACTGGTATCCTTTAAAAAAAAAAAAAAAAAAATTTGGACACAGGCAGACACAGAGGCAAGATGACATGAAAGGACACAGGAAGAAAGTGGCATTTACCAGCCAAAGACGGGACAACCTCCTCTCAGTGCTCAGAAGGAACCAGCCCTGCCCACACCTTGATCTGACTCTGGCCCGCAGACCTGTGACAACAGAGGCCTGTGGTTTAACTTGCGCAGTTGGTCGTGCCTGCTTACAGCGCCGGGGAAGGGGCAACCCCCTCCCAGAGGGGTGCCAAGCAGTCAGGAAAGGTGGGGCTTCCGGGCCCGAAGGGAGGGGGAGCACCTGCTTCTCTCAGCTCACAGCTCCAGAGGCCTCCCAGGGGCCGACGTGAGTCAGGCCCAGAACACCCTCCCGAGTCTCCTGGTCCAGTGGAGGTGAACGTCACAACCAAGCGGCTGGAACCCAGGTGCCCCACGCCGCCACGGAGGCAGCTTAGGCCACCATGAGCCCATAGGAGGGACAGCTGCTCAGGAAACTCACAATTGATTTTTCATGCCCCCAAAGCAGCGGAGCCTCCACTCTGCGGCACTGTGGCCACATCAGGAACCAGACGGTGACAGAATCTGCCCCACAGAGCACCCAGTCAAGAGACAGAGAACAGGTGTTTAAGGGACAAACACATGACCACAAAGGACTCAAACAGGGGCTCCTTCATGCAGGAGGGTCAGGGCAGGACTTTCTGAGGAAGTGACATCTGAGCTGAGAGCGAAGCTCAGCCAGCCAGGCAAAGGGGCCCAGAGAAGGAATGCCCCAGGCAGATGAAAGCGCGTGGGCAAAGGTCCTGAGGTGGAGAGCCGGGCTGCACTCCAGCACTGACTAAAAATGCTGATGCAAGCATGTGGGCGAGAGGGTGTGCAGTGGAGGGAGGGGCTGGGGCAGCCCTGGCAGGGCCTCCAGGCAGCAGTGAGGACAGTGGACTTGATCCTGAGGGCACTGGGGAGCTATGGATGGGTTCCGAGCAGAGGATTTGACCTGAGTGTGTGGGGCTGGATAACAGCCCCCAAGATGTCCACATTCTAATCACTGGAACCTGTGAATATGTGACCTCATGTGGTAAAAGGGACTTTGCAGAAAATGTGATTAAATAAAGGATACTGAGATGGGGAGGATATTCCAGATTGCCCAGGTGGTCCCTAAATGTAATCCCAAGGGTCCCATAAGAGGGAGGCAGAGGAAGATCTGACTACAGTAGAAGGAAATGTGATCACTGGAGAAAAATGCTACAGTGGTGGCTCTGAAGGTGGAGGAAGCCTTCCAGGCAAGGAAGGAATGCACTTCTAGAATCTGCAGATGGCAAGGAGACAGCGCTCCCTGGAGCCTCCAGGAGGAACCAGCCCTGCAACCGTGATTCTGGCCCCGTGAGACTGATTTCAGACTTCTGACCCCCAGTCTGTAAGGGAATAAATGTGTATTATTTTAAGCCACTAAGTTTGCGGTAATTTGTGACAGTGGCCACAGGGAACGAAAACAGGTGTTAACAGGGTCCTACCGGCTGCTGTATGGGAAATAAACAAACAGAGGAACAATAGGGGTGGTGGCAGGGAGGAGGTGACAGCAGTGGTCCAAGCAGGACCTGAGTGAAATGAAGAGAAGTGGTCAGGTTCGAGGGCTACTGTGAGTTGTCCAAGGGACAAAGCTAAGTGAAGTCTATAGCACGGTGCTGGGGACATAACAAGTGGACAGCTACCAGGAGACATTTCTCTCATTAGTGACAAGGGAACATCTATTTTACCAAAAGTCAAATCAGACTCTGACTCTGTAATAATTAAACAGCAGGACAGAGATGGCGTGGGTGGCTGTGCAGAGGAGGCCAGAGACCAGGCCCGTCTGGTCACCTTAGTGCTCCAGCAAGTGCCCAATGCCCAGCATGTAGGAGGGCTCAAGATCTGTTCGGTTCATGGATAAATGGAGTCAGACAGAAATACAAACAAAGGCCAGCTCTCTTACTGACCCTTAACGTCATCCACCAATGCACAGAATCCCTCCCGGGTATCAGGAGATGAAAGAAGCTGGAGGCGAATCTCAATAAAGAAGGCATGTCCTTACACTTAGTGAAGGCCGAAGGGTGTCCCAGCAGTACCAGAACATACCACAAAGTGACAATAAGTAAACAAGCATGGTACATAGTAGCAAAGGGTGCAAACAACCCAGATGCTCATCCACTGATGAATGGATAAACCAAATGTGGTAGATCCATACAACAGAATATTACTTGGCCCTGAAAAGGAATGAAGCGCTTATCTATGCTACAGTGTGGATGAACCTTGAAAATATTAACGTTAGCCTGGCCGGGCGTGGCTCAGCGGTTGAGCATCGACCTAGGATCCAGGCGATCAGGGTTCGATTCTGGTCAGGGCACAGGCCCAGGTTGCGGGCTCAGTCCCCAGTCGGGGGCATGCAGGAGGCAGCCGATCAATGACTCTCATCATTGATGTTTCTCTCTCTCTCTCCTTTCCTCTCTCTGAAATCAATAAAGATATATTTAAAAAAAGAGAAGAAAATATTAATGCTAAGGGAAAGAAGCCCAGATATGAAAGGTCACATACTATATGATTCATTTACATGAAAGGTCCAGATTAGGAAAATCTACAGAGACTGGAAGTAGGTTAGTGGTTGCCGGGGCTCAGTGAGGAAATAAGAGAGTGAAAGCTAAAGGATCCAGGTATCATTTTGGCACGATGACAATGTTCTAAAATTGACTTTGGTGATGGTCGCACATACCTGTGAATATGCTAAAAACCACAGAGTCATATCCTTTAAATGGGTAAATTGTATGGTATATGAATTATATTTCAATAAAGCTGTTTAAAATGGCATGGTCTAGACACAACTCGACAAACCACATCTAGGAATGTTAGAAAGAAGCTGGGATCGTGGAATCTAAATCCAAACCTTTCTCTTCCAGGCGCACTTTCTTTCATCTTTTAAGCCGAGTAATTAGACTACAAAATATAGCCTCAGGTATAAATGCCAGCAAATTAGAATCACTGTAGTGGGGGGAGATAGAGAATATCTAAGCAAGGGAAAAACAGTGTCACCTGCTACACTTCCTGCCTCTGTCACGGGACTGCGGTGATGCAGGCAAATGTCATTGCTCCGAGGAAATCACACGGAAATGCCTGGGTGTAAAGGGACATGGTGGCCGCAAAGAACTGGGAAATGTGAGTGAAAGGTACATGGAGCGCATGGTAACAACCGGAGGCTCTGGGTTGAGGGTATTCGGGAGATTTTTGGTGCTATCCTTGCAACTTTTTTCTAAGTTTGAAGTTACATCAAAATGTTAAATAACCATGATTTTAAAAAATAAGAATTAAAAAAGCCAAACAGAAAAACAACCAGCCAATAACAGTAATTGTTTTAGGAAGAATATTCTATCAGTCTTCCATGCACATTTTACAGGAGGCCCCACCTGCCTAGTACAAAATCAGCTGAAAGCCCAGGAGGGAGGCCGCCCAGCCCTCCAGCCCCACCCCTGC